CACTGCCTTGGTAAACGCCCTTGAGTGAATAACAAATTGTACAGGTTGCACAGTGACGCTGCAAGTTCATCTGCCAGCTCCTTCAGGATCAGTAGATGCACACCATCAGATACAGGTGACTGGTGAACCTTTAGTGGACGCAGCTCCAGGGCCACCTCTCCGATTGTAAATGGGGTCCAGTTCGGCTCAGTGTCAGTGTCCAGTAGATGTGCCAGTGCGCTGGAGTCTGGGGTGTACACTGAGGTATAATGTGATGCCAGAATCTCCGCTTTGTTCTCATCTTTTTCGGCTAGTGCCCCATCTTTGGCGAGAGTCGGGAGACCAAGCGTTGCTCTGATTCTTCGCCTGAGGTAGGCATACAATCGCTTTGGTGTTTGTACTGAATCCGCTGCTAGTCGTTCCTCGAATCTGGTTCTTTTGCATTTTTTAGTGCAGCACAATGATTCCGAATACATCGATATTCCTCATATCCTGCGCTTGTTGCACGGTATCTGGACCAGGCTTTACTCCGCTGCCAAAGGCACGCCCGCAGTTCTCGGTCAAACCACGGCGGGCCCATAGCGTGTGTTCGATGGTGGTGAGGTAGAGAGAATTCCAGTACGAGTTGCTGGATTCTATGACGAACCAACTCCCAGGATACATCCATATCCTCAGGGTTCCGGGAATCCCAATCTGTGAGCAATGCAGCCTGACGCATATCCGGAAAGGATGAGCGCCACACATTCTGTCCGTCCTGTGGTTTGTCCGTTTGCGGTACGACACGCCTCTAGTGTATACGCAGAATGGAGTGATCACTAGATGCAATTGGTGGAAGGAGGTCAATCCTAGTCGTATCTGATTGCCTCGGCGAAAATACCAGGTCAAGGATGGATCTTTGATCTCCAACTATCCACGTGGGTACATGAAAATACTGAACAAGCGAGAGGGCCCGGACAGCGGAAAGAAGTTCTCTTGAAAACAAATCTGCCTGCTGAGGGCAGATGTCAGTTTCCTAATCAACATGGGGCGCATAGAAATCACCTAAGACAAGACAATGACCATCGAAGGTGCACCTCTGTATGCTAACCAGCAGCTCTGGGATGTACACAGCTGGTGTGCGGTAAATTACTCCAACTGTGGTATACCCCCCGGCACAAAGCTTCTCCAAATCCTCCCGGATGGGCGTAATTCTTCAGCACTCGAACCGGGAAACCCGAGCGGACAAAAAGAACAACTCCACCATCGCGACATGACGACGATCGATCCGTTCGAAACACCGTGTATCCGTGGAGTGATATTTCGGAGTCCCGGACATCCGGTGTCAGCCAGGTCTCAGTGATTGCAAAAAGATCGGGATTGTGGGATACAACCCAGTCCTCCAGCTCATCTCTTTTCCTAGCATCCCTCGGGTATTGGATGAGGCTAGTACAGCGTGGTTACCTCGCCAATCGCGCCTCAAGCTTATCATTTGTCCGTGGTTAAACAGTCTCCTGGGTCCTCCCCCGACCAAGGGTAGCCAACGAAACTGAGGGCGCTTACGATGCACACGAAAATCCCGTATACACAGATCAATTTGCCCCTTTGCACGGCGCTCCCTGAGTTCTTCTAATGCAGTTTTCAATTTACTGCGCTGGTCCGGATCAAGATCCTTGAGGAAACGCACTGCAGTTCCTTTCAGCCTGTGGGTCCGCTGGAGTATGGCTTTGGCCTCGCTTTCTGCTCGAAGAACCACTTTCAGTGGTCGTGGTGAATTAGTAAATCCGATACAAATCATGCTCTGAAATGAGTAACATTACTCATGACTGAAAAAGGTTAAGCGATCAACAGTTCCACAACCGTTGAGTTATAATGATAATAAGTCAATTAAAAACCAACAAATTTATGTATCTTTGACGAAAGAAGCGCCTAATAGGTCGACCCAGTACAATCAAACCTCTAGTGTTCACAATGTTCCGAGATTGGGTTGGCCCAATCCGCAACCTCATTCTTACTGGGGAAGTAGTGGAGAAGGTAGGCAAATCCTGTCATCTGCGCAGCCATATCTTATTTGGCGAGTGCGTCAGAGATGAAGTGTCGGCGCGCATATAGAAGGCTCGAGTGGTATTTGCCAACTGTGGTGCCGTCGCGACATCCGGTTGTCGGTGAAGGGTCGAGTGTAAGCCGGAGGCAGTTGGATAAGACATGCTCTACGGTGTATAGACTTGGGGACCAGATAAAAATAGATTGTTGGTGTTCGATCACCGCTGTCTACGCCATACTGCCCGAGTTCGGTGAGGAAGCCGGACAAACAACGTTGAGGTTAGGCGCAAAGTTTTAGGTAATCAAAGTCGCCCACAGGAGCAAATAATTGATTTTCATAGATTACGCTGGTTGGGAGATGTGCTACGCATGTCACCCGATAGGTTGCCACTGCGAGCGAAGTTTGCCAAGGCACGCAGTGGAGGTCAAAAGGTCAAGGGCGATCAAACCAGCAGACTCGGTCACATAGGTCGCATAAGGCTTCCCGGATGGGGACCACGAGATTATGGTAATCGGCGGTTAGAGATACTGCTTAATGTGACCGAGTGTCGCTAACAGTGACGCTCGTGCATCTACACCATATTCTTGCAACCCCAGCCTATAAGAACTCTCTATCTTTCCCAATCTTCACTCTGCTGTTTAATTCAAATAGACAGCCAAAAGACAGCGACCAAAACCGGCGCGCAAAAGAGCATGACTACTGGTTGTAAAAACTGAAACTGGAGCACTGATGGCATTCACAACAAACTTAATCAATTAGATTGTTACCACTCCCTTAGTGACATTATTAGGAAGAACACAATAGAGAATTAGTTACAAAAAAAAGATAAACTTGACAATCAATTGACGAGTATTCACACAAAACTAAGTCCAAGATAACAAGCGCAAACAAAAACAGTCGTGTTTTCGACTGGAAACAAAAGTACCGCTCGGCCACATTTCCCGGATGGATTTCCTTCGGCTGAATTTTCCACGGACAAGGGAACATTTTCAATCGCCGGAAATCGAATTGACAACACACTGCCGGATCCGGTCCGCACGTGTGAGGTACATCGTACGCGTAGAAAGCCAGCATATGACAAGGGATTTGGGCTTGTGTGTTGCGGTCTAAGCGAGAGAGAAACCAGTAGATAGACCAAACAATGCAAATACAAACAAGGGAATAAACCATAATGGTCTCCCCTATGCCGCTACATACTCTTCAAGAATGTGCTTGCGGCTTTTGAACAGTCAATTGCCAGCCTCAATAATAAATGGCGGTGGCTTTATGTGGTCTGAAGTCACAGTCGCAGCGATTGCACTGCTGTGGCTTTTTATCATAAAAATCTCTTGAAAAGTGGAAACCTAACACATGCAGCTATTTTTTAAGTCGAACTTTCTAGTAAACGCTCAGGTGTGGTTTCCAAGCACAAAGCTCCGGTGATGTACATTTGACCATTGCCCAAATTCTCATGTGGTCCATACACACCCCGCGACAAAAGTATTGCACTCAACCGCCCCCCTCCCCTAAACTTTTGGATTATCTCCGCTCCCGCATGCACGATTATGACCAAATTTAATAATCTAGACCACAACCGAATCAAAGGCCAAAATACGAAATGTAATTTTAACAAAAATATGTCGAAAAAACCGAATTTTCACCGCGACCAGAGCATCACACCCCCTTTTCCTTGGACTTCACACAATCAACTCGGTTTCAATCAACTCGGTTTCAAAACGGGTGCCATATACATCCTGAGGGTTTATATCGGCGAGACAACTGGCAACCATGATGAGTCAGTGGTTGACAGACTGATGTAAGCTATGGTCATGCTCACATCACACCCAAAGAACTTGAAGGAACAAAGACATCCAAGTAGGCCAGTACAATTCGTTGTCAATCACGGCCTGATGTACTAGGCTTAATGGAAACCAGAAATCCAGAACTGATGCCTTTGGTGAGATCAACGTCCGCACGCATAAGATAGCCGACCGGTGAAGAGCCCCGGTCGCACTGTGGTGCGATATTCGAAGCGGGAACATCTAAAAACCAGTCAAAAATAGATTGGACAACAGAAAATTTCTCGGGGGGAGGTTAGGGTAGACTGCTATGTATGGCCTCTGAAACACGGTGAATCATATGCATCGGAAATGAGAACCGTGCTTGAGCTGAACGTTTCAGTACGAACGGTACACCGACTACATGAAACGGTCCCTTGGATGAAATAAAAGGAGGAGATGGCGCACAGCTCCAACGACTTTACAAACTGAAAAGCAGACTGAGACTCGTGTCTATTACTTTGGCGTGGAAAGGCAATTTAATTTGGATGAACCCGACGTGTGGAACAACTACTGGTACGATCTGTAGAAAGTCCTACTACAGCAAGCAGATCAGCGATAGAAACTCCGTGATGGTTCAGAGTGCCTTATATCAAGTAATGACCCAACCGAACTCGTTATACTGCAAGATTCTGATGCACATATTTGTGCACATTGCAGCGGTACTTCATGTTAGCAGTGGAATCGAATGATCAGCCTGAAACCATTATTCGGCATGATATTGCTGTAGTTCATTGTCCGAATCTAAAAAAACGCTGGTTATTATTTCGCGGCATCAAAACAACAGTGTGACCTGCGCATTGCTCAGATTTGGACGCAGTAAGAGACATCGGGGCTATTTTTACCCGAAAGATGCATCAACACTTAAGAATTTACCCCACAAAACATGAAGTAGAGACATTGTTGATTGTATCAGTAAATTTCCTGTGCCTCATGACACTCAAGGTGACACAGGAGAACATTGCAGTGGGAGATGAAGTTCGGAATAGATCCTCTTCACTCAAAACTATCGATAAAGAGGTACGAGATTGGAGACTGAAATATATTTATAAGTTCCGACTCATAGCTGCAGTACCTCAGGTTGAAGGCACAGACAACTTTGCCCAAAGAAACGATAAATACAAAGCAACCAGCCACAGTTCGACTAAGTAAGCAAATTATGCACTAGTTAACTCAATCAACAACGCGGTCTCATACCCGATTTGTGTGAGCACAACATGCCCCAATGATTGAACAGTTAGTTCATTCAACAGGCAAACGACACAAGTTACAAAAACCGCCAGCGGTTTATTGAGGAAATCGCAAAAATTCGAGGAGTGATTATCACAGTTTTAATTCGTACTAGCTTACGGGAATGAAAACTCATTGGTGAATAGTAACGCGGACAACTCTAGTAGTTATACGGCATAAGTGAATTTACTACTGACCCCAGGATTGTCTCCATTTAAACTCCAACGCTTTTCGCAAAGCCAAATACTTCTTTACTTCGTAGTGCACCCGACCGATCACCATGCCAGTGAACCCCATTTTGCGGACCAAATAAGCCATGGTAGTGCTTTGTCCGAACGGATCGATAGCCCAGCTCACGTTTGGTCGATAAGCTGCATAAACGATGAAGAAATTCGAACGAAAGAACTGGATGAATGAGCCAAAATGATGAGGAAACAGAAAAAAACAAGAGAATTGCATTCAAGAATCGGGTCCCATTGTCCAGCTGACATCACCGTAAAACCGGCCCGTGAATTCACAATTACACGTCTATGGGAACCCTGAGGCCACACCTTAAGGGTTGTAATTCTCGCGTGAGCATACACCCTCACAGTCTAACTACCGCGGACACAAGCAGTAGTCAAAAATATACGATAATGATCTGTGATTTTTATCTACTGGTTGTGTCTGTAGTAGTGAAACTTAGAATTCCACTTTGACTCTGTGAGAATCTGACTAACTGGGGTGAATAAGATTTCCTGATGTACCTGTATATATGAAAGCAAATTGAAACAAAGAGGAAAATGAGGTAAATTGAATGGATTAAAAATCACATTGGGATTAGGTAAACAGCATCTGATAATTTTCATCAAATGGTTTCAAAGGCCCAAACCACATACGAAGATGAAATAAGTATATCTAAAATTTAAAAAAAAAACTGAACGGCGAACAATCTCGTTCCAGTTATTTGTATTCGTGCCAACACATCACAATATATGTCTCCACTACGTCCGAGCCGAATGTGTGTTTGCAACTGAAGGACAAATTTCCCGACTCTGCAGTCTCATTCTGTGTATTGTCATTTGCTTGTTCCTGTGGCACAACGTACATAGGCCGTGCGGTCAAGCAATTGTCCGAACGGACCCGAGAATACCATTCTGCATGGCTGAGCACTAGCTGAAACAAATCCCACTGCAAACGTGGTCGGGGCTTTCCGGTCGCTGTAAAAAGTTAGTGACTTTATTGAGGCAGTTGTGATATCAACTAATTTAAGGTAGCTCGACTCCCATCTGGGATGCAAAAATGAAAACCATTTTATAGCACAGGGAAGATAAAAAGAACGACACAAACAGTCACTGGCGAGGAAAACACCAACCTATTCACCACATATACTAGGCACAATCGTCGGTACGGCACAATGGCGTAGAACAAACTGGACGTCAACATGCGACGCCCACCATTACAAGAGTACGTGCGGGGAGATTAGTTCGAAAATTCTGGAGCATAAATTATGCTGATCATGGCAATCGTTTATCCCCAACTCACGATTAAAGCCAAGCGTGGTAAGGATTACCAGTACTAGAACCGTTTTCAACCGTTAGGACAGTGCCAACGTACAGAGAGAGGAAGGGTGGAATGTGCTGTAAACACGAAAACGAAGCCGGATTTAAATGAGAAGCTCAGCTCAGTTTCGGGGTGTGGCAACCTTGAAGAGTTTTGTGCAAAAGGAGAAAATTTACAGAATGAACCAACCAGCAAACAAAAAGTGCGGAATCACTCCACATAGCGGTTTTTCGAACGACTGTGTGTGGAGGGGTCTACAACAAAACACGGGGAATCTTAAGTATAGCAATAAAATGGAATTTCGATGGTTATGAAATTCTACGGTTTGTCTAACCAAAACTCCAAAAGAGGTTGAAGTAGAGCGGAGGTAAATACCACTAATTAGGGAGTTATGATGTGCAACATTGTAGAGCTATACTATCCAATTAGAATGAATGACACTCAAACAGCGAACGATTTCTTGGTCACCACAGAGCAGTTTCTTGTGCTGAAAATATCGTTGGGTGACTAAGTCCTACAGATTTAGTTAACAAAACTGTTCACTTTGCTCTGGTACATTGGTATATCATGCGCTGCTCTCCAGATGGACTTGATCATATGCCGAGAATGATCGCAGGAAACAGATGCAGTGAGAATGAGTGGTTTGATGAAAAATCGGCACGGTTTACGATAGTGTCTCCAATTAGAACTTTAGTGAATCCAGTCTATAGAGACTTACGGAGCACACTGGACAGAGTCTTCGTATGCTCTCGTCAATTCAGACTAGCCGGTTGACATCTCCATTGAAGCTTTCCAAGCAGCAGGAGGAGGCGGAAAGCAGTTATGCACTAGACACGCATAATATCTAGTGTGTGACTCGAGTTTAAAAAACACAGATAAGAACGGACAGTGGGTCAGTGTCAACCAACCTGAGTTCATTGATAGTAAACCGGTAGTGTACACCGTAGCACATGTACTTCTTTACAACTATTTTTGTATCCATCAAAAAAGAAACAGAGGCTACACACTGTTGCACCTGAAAGTTGCCACTATTTGTGGGATCATTTAGCACTGTGAACGAACCAAACGATCACCTTTCCGACTCATTGGGGTACCTTTTTTATTGGGCCTTCAATTGAGCTGTTGGCAGTGAGTTCAGCACTTCCTCGGAGTTGCAGTTTATATGGAAAGGGCCGTTGCAAAATTAACCAATTAAAAAGCGCTTAACTGATTGACATCAATGTGGAGAAACCATGAATGTTTCCCGCGGTGTTCTGGCGTTTTTTCGAGGGTTTTTGTCTTCATCTATCTTGTTAGTCATAAAGCCACTCACAGAGTGCAATAACAAGTAATATGCGGAACAGCCTTACTAACATATCAGTTGGTTTGTGTTTTCCAAATCCGAATGACAGCATGGGGAAACAACAGTTGTTAGCTCTGTGTGCACTGCTCTGACTACGTTACTGCGTCTCGCTTTTATGCCTACATGGGCTGCACCGCACCGAATTTACTCCGTCTATAATCGGTTATCAAGCGGGCTTATCACGTACCATACCCAGAACCGTACACAGAACAGGGGCATCCACATCACTCTGTTAAAGAAAACCCATCCCTTTACACGAAATCATATTTGACCCACTCCAGAATAGGTGTTTAGTTTGAATTTCATTCCACAAATACGCATAACTATTGTATTTGTCTGCAGTAGACGCTAATTAATGTACAGCAACATCAGCCAGGATATAAATCGTAAATGTTTCCATACTGGCTTTTCTTTTCATTCATCCCTTGGTTAAGAATCCAGTTTCCCTCCATCTGATCATCCAGACTACTGGGAATGTTAGTGCGTGGGGATCATATGAGCTAAAGCAGCTGTTAGGATTGTTTATTGAGCACCCACAGCGTGTTTGCTGCACGCTATACACTACACTATGTAAATTACATCAAATACGCATGTCATTTGTATGTCATGCGTACGACCAAAGGGATGAGTTGAACGGGAAAAAAACAGCACATATGTAATTCACGTACCGAAATTTTCCCATAACCAGTGATGTCCTTCGATCACTTGGTCCACAATAGCATAGTAACTGGATGCGGCCTCGTCCGGCATTACCCAACCACCGGACACGATTTCCATTTGACCACTACGCAATAACCTATCAGAAATGGAGTGGGTTTGTGAGGACAATTGTAGACACATTGCTGCGAACGAATTCGGGGGTGGGAATATATTATATATATTCTTATACAAAAAGTGACTACGAGCGTCCATGGGTTGTGAGGACTCGGTGCTTTTCGATTGCCCTGGTCGTGAAAAGGGATAACCCTTCACTCAAGACATTTCATTTCAAAGGTGACCGGTAAGACATCAGGACGCAGTACGGGGNTAGCTGGTGTAAAGTTCATCGGACAGAGTCGAATGTCCACGGTATCCAATACACCCTGATGCCCAATTAAGCCAGTGAACACCACCAGAACAATGAAGGTGTGAGTGATAACCAGAACTTTTTACTTTATCCAGAAGGTGAAAATTCAGTAGTTCATCAACCCGGTCAGAGCCCCCAAGGTTTGCTTTTTGTTTTTCCCCTTTATTGAATGAAACATTTATTTCAAGTGAGGATAGTGATCACGGATTGTTCGATAAAATTTTAGCGGCCAGACGGAGTATCTCGATCTAAACGTAACAGATTTCGATAAAGTCGTGCAGTATAAACGACTTTTCAACTGGAGTGAAACGTCACGTCATTGCCACAGGTGCCACAGTCCTGCGTATACTGCTCCAGCTTCGAGAATGCGGCTATCTCCTTTATCGCGCTACCTTTGTTGGTCACGCAACTGACTGCCTCAATACGAGAAACAATCAACTTCAGTTAATTACTGATTGCTTAGTTGCAGAACAGGACTAGTCGACAGCTAGTCTTGCAGCATTACTTTGCAATTTAAAGGAATAAAAAGCATACCGAATGGCGTACCAGCACCTGCCAGTCTACCACGTGCACTTGAGGCGTCCTCCATGCATTGGAACACAGGTGATATTATTAGCTTTTCTCTAGCTGCCCATTTGATGCCACCATTCAGTGTGTTCTCCAGTACTTCGTCGAAGGCGAAATTGAGCTAGAATGGCGGACGGCGCTGACTGACGATCTGTATAGCTCGTCGCAAATCTTTAAACCATCACCAGTATACGAGAACAGTGACCTCAGTAAGTTTATATAATTCAGCAGTATCCCCTTCTGGAACAGCGAACCCGTTAAGGCTAGCGGCCAACGAAATCCAAGACTGTTCGAGGTAAAGGAAGTCTGCGTTTTTTGGTCGGTTGCGAAGTTATTTAGATCTTTTTTATATAACTGAAACAATCGGTAATACGCTCCAAGATGATGGCATGCGTTCCTGAGAACACGCATCAAACTGTAAATTAGTATTAGAATCTACGAAGTCATCCCCATATTTCGAAGACAAAGGGAGTACGCCCTTCCGGTCCTATTGTTTTCTGTATGATCCGAAAATAAAATCGGACTTTTGCTTTTCCTGGAGGATTATATCGACCCACGATTCACTTGAAACGGACGAGATAATCTGGTTAAAGCAAGGCCAGTTAAACTGTTTCTTGAGATACTCCACCCACCAAGCACGCCGTTATTTTCCTATTGTAGATAGCCTGTCCCATTTTGTGACAGATCGTTTCACCAGATGGGGTTCGCCGATCTACCGTGTTGCGTATCACTTGGCACAGTCTTAAACTATTCCCTGGTGCAGCGGCTACTTTTTTATTACACACATTTGTGTGGTGAACAGCAAACCTCATAGTCACGAAGACCTGCTGCTCCGTCATGGAAAGCGGCAACCTAAGCCCCGGGACTTGGATTGACGAACCACATAAGGCCCCGTTAGGTTAGGCGTGGTATTGAACCGGACGATAGCAAAGCTGCCTACCGCCAAGCAACTTTTACTCGCCAGTTTTCACGGTCCTTCTTCAGGCTTTTTGTGAGCTCACGCTGCGGCCNTTTGTCGCCTTTCTACCAATACGGTACATCAGATATCTAATGCCTCAGACGGACTTGAGGCTCAGATCTACAAGCAAGGTTCGCTGCAGAGTGCATTGCTCGTTTAATATGATCCTATTATTCACCTACACCATCACGTTGCAGCGAACTTCGCTCATACTATAGTTCTGAGCCACAGCGGACATGAACGGCTCAGATAAGCGATGATCTACTAATCGATGTTTTTTTCTTTTGTCGATGATCAGTGAGTTGGAACGTGGACTGCACCAAAACTAATGCGTGATCTGATTCAACGCAGGTGGTTCAAAAGGACCGGCAGTTCTCTACTGAGTCACACCAACGGTAGCTTACTGCTATGTGGTCGATTTGAAGCAGTATAGCACGTGA